ATTCAAAATACAAGAGTTAATAAAAAGGTAATAAAATTAAGTATTACAAACTTTAAAAGGTACAAAATCCCTTAAGYTAAAGTTGTAACGTTCTAAATGAGCTGAAGGATTTTATAATTGAACGGTTCAAACAGTTAAAAGGACGTTGAAGTCGCTGCAAGCTGAATAACAAATGGAGTAAAATGAAAACAGGCTGAATGCTGACTCAGCATAACTGAAAGTTTCTTCATTTATGAAAACATGAATAAATCACACAAAAATATCCAGTAAACTTGTTTTATTAAATTTAGTTATTGGGAAACAAGCCTCTGCTTTATTAGTTAATAGAGATTATTTGACACAAATAAAGACAGGTTTCATATAGTTAACACTTTATTAATGAGGGTAAAAAAGAAAACAAACTTCTTATTGAGCTTTAATAATGTAATAAACTAAGCATTTAATATGTTGTGTTTTTAGAACATTTAAAGAGCTGTGTTCACTTTATTTACAGCTTCACATGTGCTTTGTRGCTCTGGATAAATATTTAATAACATAAAAAGTCTTTTGGCGAGTGTTTTGTCACGTGCACACAACAGGAAGTGGTTTTGTTGTGACTCTAAAGGACATTTGTGAGTCTGTTTGTTCTCGTCTCCTTGTTCAGATGAAACATTCGAGCTGGGCCTGAGGTTTGAGCTGGTGCTGGAGGTGCGCCCCCGTGTGGCATCAGGTGTGTTACTGCATGTGCGCAGAGCTGAAGGCTACTTCATCGTCTACATTCATCAAGGAGCGGTGAGTCCTCAGTGGTTCCAGGACCCCTCTGTGGGTCAGCAAACATCAAGTGACGGTCCCCAGATGATTTCCAGACGTCAGTTTAAATGAAGATAATTTGCTAATGGAATAATATCACCACGATTGTTGAAATGAAACAATAATAATAATGAATGAACAAAAGTAACATCACAGTTATTAGGTTTGTTTATATTGTTATTATACTCATGTTTAACAGAGTTATTAGCAAAGTTTGCATAGATAAACCAGTAATAACTGTTACTTGTTGGTCTGGAAGCTAAAACGTTTAAAAACTCTACCATTTATTGGACTGGGAATATTGGTCTGGGAATTACCACTTGATAATTTCTGTACAGGGGTCTGGTCCAGTGGTTTCCAGGTGCACTTCCATTTAGTTTTCCTGCTTGCTGCTGTTTTCTGTGCACCTGTTAGCCTCAGTACAAACAGATTTTCCCAGAATTGACCTAAATCAGGTCTGCAACCGGTGGCTCTTTGGTCCCTCTGCAGTGTCTCTTTGAAAATGTGACCAAACATAACAGAATACTTTTTTTGTTGTTGTTGTTTTTTATACTCACAACAGAAATCAATTTGTATGCAAATATGTGATCAATACTACTAATACAAAAAGTAAAACATGTTAGCTCATGCTAGCCTGTTGTTTACTTAAATATTAATAAAATTCGATATAAGCTACATTATATATTACATTATACACTCACCAGCCACTTTATTAGTTACACCACGCTAGTAACGGGTTGGACCCCCTTTTGCCTTCAGAACTGCCTCAATTCTTCGTGGCATAGATCAACAAGGTGCTGGAAGCATTCCTC